CTGAATACCTTCTGCATATTCCTATATGTGTCTGTTCAATTAGGTTATTTGCAGAAATCATATTATTGAGGGAAGGTTATAAAAAAATAAAAAAATAAAAAGGAAGGGGACGAGGGGCAGATTATATAATAATTTTACACCTGCGGACCTGCAAAAATTAATCGGCGGGCCACTTTTAGTCCGCGGGCTATAGCTTGCCCACCCCTGCTCTGAGGGCGTTATCAATGTCAACGCGATCCATAGATCGTTCATCTGCAACTAAAACCGAACCGGCCAGTCTATAAGCTCTTTTATATCCAACAACACTCACATTTCCTGGGACACAGATGAAGGTAATATCACGGACAGTCGAGTTTTTTTTTTACTGTGTACAAAATGACATCTGATGAAACATATACACATTTTAATATGATCTCTGATAAAACATACATACTGTACAATATGATCTATGATGAAAAACAACTGAACAATATGACCTCTGGGGAAACATACATATGATTCAATAGACAAAAAATTAGCCCCAAGTGTCCCATTTCAAGGAAATACAGAATATGAAATCAGACAAATGCTAGGAATGAAGGCAGTCTTACGGATCATCAAAGAATAATAAATGAAGTGGTTTGGACACCTAAAAAGAATGCCCTGGTACTATCTGCTACAGCGAGCCACACTAAAACGTTACAACGGGTATAGAGCGAGGGAAAGACCTCGGAAAATATGGAGTGATGGCATTAAGAACAGCCTTACAGAAATGAACATCAGTCTTATAGTGATATTGACAGAGCTCATCAACGAACATTACATCTCCCCCTGACACTTCGATGAGGTAGGTACAAGGTGGAAGAGAAGAAGAAGAAGAAAAAGAAGAAGAAGTCCCATTTCATATACAAATCTAGGAATAAGCTCGTGAATAGAACATACACTTATAGTTATGTCTGAAGACCTTCATTAGACTCAACAGGTTTAGATAACGTTAATGCCGGAATTTTGTTGATAAGAATTTGTATTGTAGCAAGTATTCACCGCTGCAGTTAACGAGCACATTGTTTCTTTTATTTCTTGGCTGCAATAATTTGGTCTATGATACCACTGTCTAGCAAGTTACTAGACCTTTCACACCGGTGACCCAAGTAAAAGTAACAGGCAAAAAAGGGGTGTGAGTTTTATATTGGGGGGGGGGGGGGGGGGGGGGTTACTGACTTGTTTGGGATGTCCCGTTTTCAGCTCAAGATACTATGGTAACTGTAAATGTGAATTATGATGAATCATTCACGGATAGTAAATTATGACCTATGATGAAACATACTCATATAGTACAGTATGAACTATGATGAAACATACTCATATAGTACAGTATGAACTATGATGAAACATACTCATATAGTACAGTATGAACTATGATGAAACATACTCATACAGTACAGTATGAACTATAATGAAACATACTCATATAGTACAGTTAGTTAGTTAGTTAGTTAGTTAGTTAGTTAGTTAGTTAGTTAGTTAGTTAGTTGGGTTATCATCATTGCACTCCGGACATGTCCATAGGTGCTCAGATCCTCCCCTCAGTATGAATCCCAACGTCCGATGGCTAATAGTACCAGTTCTATGTTGATTAACAAATCTTCTGACGTGTCCGGTGTGCGTCTCGTTTTTTGCTGTGCCGATCTTAATTCCCAAGTCTGCCATTCTGGCGAGTGATGTGGATTCACTGCCACCAAAGTCCTCTATCCTTCCCATTTCTCTGAGGGCATTGATAATATCAGCATGATCCATAGGCCGACCGTCGGTAGTGATAGCGGATCCAGCCAGCCTGTCAGCTCTTTCATTTCCATCGACGCCTGCGTGTCCCGGAACAAAAATAAAGGTGACTCCTCGCACAGTGGACTTCTGAATTGATTCAAGCCATTGTCTTCGCACTGAACCTGCCTGAACCCTCCGGATCATACTCATTGAATCACTGAGTATACATATGCGGGTGTATTTTTGTGTTTCAAGCCAGGCAAACGCTTGCGTCACTGCCATCACCTCCATCGTCATGCTGCTGGTTGTCATGGAGAAGGCGCCGTTGGCTTCTTTGACTGTTCTGCCCGCTGAGCGTGCTGTAAATGCCCATGCGCTTCTTCTTTGGCGTATAACGGATCCGTCTGTATAGATTAGTGCATCTGCTTCGTCTGAATTTTCACCGATGAGAGCGTTGACCTCTGCATTAACAGCAACAGGATTCTCTTCTCTACATCGCCTGTTGAGTGTGACAATACAGGAAAATGTACAAATAAACGCCTGAGGCACAGGTATCCATTCTGCACCAGGTATGATGTCGGTTAGGCTGCATATTTGCCTAATAACATCTTCTGCCCGACCTAGCCACGATTTTCCCCTCTTCAGTCTGTCGCTTTTTTCACTAAAAAGCGCTTGATGCAGTGGGTGTTTCTTATCAGCACATATTTTGAGGTATGCCCGAGCCCTCCACATCCTGATCCTTTGGTTCATTGTTGGAAAGTCAAGTAGATACCTCATTGCTCCACAGGATGTGTCTCTTGTACATCCCAAAATAATACGCATGGCTTCATTTTGCACCTTCTCGAGTCGTTCAATCTGGGTAGCACTGACAGTGAGGATGGCCAGAGCGTATTCAATGGGGGAAAGGACCAGACCGTAGAATGGAAGCACCAGCAGTCTTTGCTCGATATTGGAAGCAGCCATAATCCTCATTGCAGATAGACCTTTGCGTGCTTTTGTTATCGCATGGTCAACGTGTTCCCTGAATGACAAGCTGCGATCAAACCTCACCCCGAGAAACGTCATAACGTTGGTTCTGATCAATACATTATCACGCATTTTCACTTCTGGTAAGTCCGACTTGACAATGTGATTGTTCAAAGAGAACCATGACACTGATGCCTTCGAGGGATTGACATAGGCATTGGAACCATCACACCAGGCGGCAATTCGATCGAGTTCTTTGTGCATTGTGCTGGCGATCTCCTGTCTATCACGCCCTCGTCGATAAACATATAGTACAGTATGAACTATGATGAAACATACTCATATAGTACAGTATGAACTATGATGAAACATACTCATATAGTACAGTATGAACTATGATGAAACATACTCATACAGTACAGTATGAACTATGATGAAACATACTCATATAGTACAGTATGAACTATGATGAAACATACTCATAAAGTACAGTATGAACTATGATGAAACATACTCATATAGTACAGTATGAACTATGATGACACATACTCATATAGTACAGTATGAACTATGATGAAACATACTCATATAGTACAGTATGAACTATGATGAAACATACTCATACAGTACAGTATGAACTATGATGAAACATGCTTATATAGTACAGTATGAACTATGATGAAACATACTCATATAGTACAGTATGAACTATGATGAAACATACTCATATAGTACAGTATGAACTATGATGAAACATACTCATATAGTACAGTATGAACTATGATGAAACATACTCATATAGTACAGTATGAACTATGATGACACATACTCATATAGTACAGTATGAACTATGATGAAACATACTCATATAGTACAGTATGAACTATGATGAAACATAGTCATACAGTACAGTATGAACTATGATGAAACATACTCATATAGTACAGTATGAACTATGATGAAACATACTCATATAGTACAGTATGAACTATGATGAAACAAACATAACAGCAGCACAATGTCAGTGTTTGGTGAAGCATACAGCAGTAAAACATACTTATACAGTTACAAAGGCACGTTTTTGATAAACTATCGGTGAATGCGTCAACATTGACCATAAATATATATTCATATATTGTATTTGTAAAAAAAAAAAGTGTTTAAAAAGAGAACATATGTATATCTATATGGTCCGAAGGCACTTGTTTCCCCCTTACAAATTTTTTACGGAGCCGAGTTTCTGCCCGCCCCCACCTTCTTCCTCAAAGGGGTCATAAGTCTTTATGTCCTAGCGCTACTGATGTTTGTTTATTTGTTTGTTTTAGTATCCAGAAGCCATGAGTTATTAACCCTTAGGCTCGGTATTATGGATATCGCAACCTTTCGGCCTTGATTCCATTGTAAATACCGTAAATCTGGGAGAAACGTGGCTTTTCTGCCTATCCCCGGGAGTGAACCCGGACCACAAGGAGTTCGTCACCCGGTTTCTGCGCAATCCGGTTTAGCCAACTACGCTAGAGAGCCGGGCAGCGCTACTGATAAAAGTTCACATCCACAGAAAGCCATATCAAGACATAGCCAGATTAGTTTTCAACACAGCAGGTGCGGATTATGTGAGATTAGCCCTAGGTTGGCGATGTTGTTACTACATGTTTTAAACAACGCTAATGTAGTCAGTCAGTCTCCTTGACATAGATGTTCAGAACACTGAACAGCAAACAGCAATTTAAGCAAAAATAAACGCATTCTCCCGATAAAACAACCCCAGTTTTATCTGGTGAGTTTTTCAGATAAATGGGGTACGAATCATACAAAATGACCATCTTGGGTTTCAAGGGGTGTCCGGGTGTTTCAGTTCAATTACTGAACATACGCTCGTATGTTATGACCTCTTCTTTCTTTACCTTGAAGGAAGAGTCTAGTCAGTGTTTCCCAAAATGTGGCCTGCGTACCCATAGTCTCCATGTCGTACATTTAAGGGCTTTTTGAATGATTTAGAAAAGTAAACGACAGAAGGATGCTAGCTCGAGGTTTTTGGCAACTTGTAAGCACCTGAATGGGTCTATTATAATCATCAAGAGAATCCTGCTCAATGTGTTCACATAATATAATCACGAGCACCGCTTAAATCTAGTAGAAATATATCCACATTTGAGTTGAGTCGACGTAAGAATCGACATCACCGCACTCGGAACACTCCCATAAACGCTCCGTCCTTATCTTCAACAGCAAGCGAAGAGTTTCAGTGTTGATCCTACCAGTATCTCCAAGCAACTTCAGGCTGGCGGACGTCACCAGGGATGTTCGGGCTGATCGTTTGGTGTTAAATAGAGCGAGTCAGCATCACATGAGGCATCCAAAGACGAAGACTGGCCACATTCCGTGTCTAGTGCAGGAGTTGTTGAACTGCTTGGCGACTCCTCAGAAGCATCTTCATGCATGATGTCACACGAACTTTCCTCGTCAACTTCGATCTCAGAGTCTGCACTACCGTCTACTGAGTCCTTCTTTGGCCGTCCTTTAGGTTTTGTGGGAGCTTCTTTTGCTCCTTTCTGCAACACCTGCAACAAATGTCAGGTAGGTAGTTATAGATTTTGCTTTGCAAATCAATCTCATGTGAGTAGTATAGATTGGTTGTAGTAACAAAATTTCATGCGGGTAGTGTAAATTATTTCACAAGTACAATGTCATGTGGATAGTATATATTGCATGTAGAAATAAACGGTAAGGTGGGCAGTATAAATTAGTATAAATTAGTTGCTCAAACAAAATGTCAAGTGAGTCAAATGAAATATTTGTAGAAATTAAATGCCTCGTTGATAGGATATGTTTTAGTTGATGAAGTTTATTTTTAGGGTGGGTGGGGCGGGGAGGGGGGTGGTTTAAATTGGTTCTACAAATGAAACTATCGAGGTTCTTACTCAACAGGCATACAGGCACCCAGTCTATTAGACCTGTAGTCTTTAAACTTTTTTTTCCAAGTCTCGCCCCTGTTCTCGAAGGTGTAGGACAAGAACCCCACGCCCCCCTTCCTCCCCGAAAATATGGCAATACTCTCATGTTGCCTTTGAGTACATTGCAAGACCCAAACGCCACCCACCCCGAACATATGGCAATACTCTCATGTTGCCTTTGAGTAGATTGCAAGACCCCTCCCCCCACACCCCCCCCCCCCAAAAGAAAATATGGCAATACTCTCATGTTGCCTTTGAGTAGATTGCAAGACCCCAACGCCCCCCTCCCCCGAACATATGGCAATACTCCCATGTTGTTTTTGAGTACATTGCAAGACCCCAACGCCCCCACCCACCACCCATTGAATGTATTGCAAAACCACCACGCTCCCTTTCCCCCAACATAATGAAATGTTATTAAAAATGAGGACAATAAATTTCTTCAACAAGTTAAACAAAAGGTATGGAGATACGTTTTCTTCAGACACACAGACACACGAACAGACACATTCACAAAGACACACGCAGACAGAAACATACACACACACACACACACACACTTGGGTTTCAGAGACACAGAGACGCACACACACACAGACACACACCGACTCGCACACACACACACACATACATACACGTCACACATATACATGTCACACATTCACGCGTTCGGCTCTCCTGTCAAATCCGGACGAAGAATAAACAGCCGTGGACGAGTTAGTCAGAGTTCTCTCCCTTGGCCGCACTCCGAACAGTAATCGGAAAACAAACGAAATAAACGACACACTTACCTATCATCCTGCGGTTGCGTGTAGGGCTGCGTACGGTTTCGTGAGGCATTGTGAATGGTTGTGTAATCATCATCATGCGGTTGTTGGGTTACAGTTAAGGGTAGGGTTAGGGGTAGGGGTAGGGGTAGGGTTAGGGTTAGGGTTAGGAGTAGGGGTAGGGGTAGGGTTAGGGTTAGGGTTAGGGGTAGGGTTAGGGTTAGGGGTAGGGTTAGGGGTAGGGTTAGGGGTAGGGTTAGGGGTAGGGTTAGGGTTAGGGTTAGGGGTAGGGTTAGGGGTAGGGTTAGGGTTAGGGTTAGGGTTAGGGTTAGATGTTAAAATTTTGACGTAGGGTTTGGAAATAGTGGCCGACAATCTGATGTTTGTGGGCGTGGCGCCACTAGAATTCTGCTAAATATGACGCCAATAGTGTGCGGCTGGTGCCCAATCGTTGGCGAATTGTGCGTTTCACCAGCATCCAGAGGCCCTCGATTGTTTGTGTGTGTATGGGACTGTGCGCGATTATAGGGAACTCCGGCGTCAAAATTGTCAAATCTAACGCTACAGCTAACCCTACCGCTAACCCTAATCCTAATCCTACTCCCTAGCCCTAACCCCTACCCCTAACCACGCAAATTTATCGATCATTAAAGCATACAAATCGGCAAAAACCAACAAACACAACACACCCAAAAAAAAAAAACCTAGAATTGTCCTGCAGCGTCGAAAAAAAACCCAGATCTGGGGGAAACAACCAAGCATTGGCAGCCCTGATGTCGACGTGACTGTCTTCTTTGTTTCGTTGGCTTTTCCGATCACTGTTCGCAGTGCGGCAAAGGGAGAGAACTCTGACTAAGTCGTCCAAGGCTTTTTAGTCTTCGTCCGGATTTGACAGGAGTACCCACGCGTTCATATATTTCATACACACAGAGAGACAGATAAACGTATATATATATATATATATATATATATATATATATATATATATATATATATACAGGTGTGTGAAGGGAAGATAGACATATTTGCATAAGAATTTATATATATATATAAATAGACAGCCACTGAGATGGACAGGCAGACATACAGAAGGCAAAAAGAAAGACAGGCAGACAGATGGATGAAAGAATGGATGAAAAGAATAACGAATGGATAGATATATGGATGGAAGGATGGACAAATGGATGTATAGATAGATGGATAATGAATGGATGGTGGATGAATGGGTGGATGGATGTATAGAACGATGGATGTATGGATGAATGGATATATTTTCAAACAGACAGATAGATAGATAGATAGATAGATAGATAGATAGATAGATAGATAGATAGATAGATAGATAGATAGATAGATAGATAGATAGATAGATAGATAGATAGATAGATAGATAGATAGATAGATAGATAGATAGAGAGATAGAGAGATAGAGAGATAGAGAGACAGAGAGACAGAGAGATAGATAGATAGATAGATAGATAGATAGATAGATAGATAGATAGATAGATAGATAGATAGATAGATAGATAGATAGATAGATAGATAGATAGATAGATAGATAGATAGATAGATAGATAGATAGATAGATAGATAGATAGATAGATAGATAGATAGATAGATAGATAGATAGATAGATAGATAGATAGATAGCCATGCAAATGAAAGATGGCTAAAGTAGACGACTGATTAGACACATTAATAGGGTTGAATAAGAACTGAGTAAAAATTAATGTCGCTAGGCTGTGCTCTGTACCTACCTGTTTCTTCCATTTCATACGTCGGTTCTGATACCAAGTCTTCACTTGTATTTGTGACAGCCCTAGCGACTCGGCCAGGTCCAGTCTGTCCGGTGTAGACAAATACTTCTGTCCCTCAAATCTCTTCTCCAGACCAAGTAGCTATACGAAGGAAAACAAAAACACAACACCTTTAGGTATCAGCCCCGGACAGTAAAACTTTAATTTAAAATAGGGATGGCCTTTGGGGTGTGGTTGTAAGCCTGCACCCGTAACAGGGTGATGTTCTTCAGCACGTAGTCCGCTGATCGGTCAAAGTCCACTGAGCAGTCAATGTCCGCTGACCGGTCAATGTTCGCTTACCGGTCAATGTCCGCTGACCTGTCAATGTCTGCTGATCGGTTAATGTTTGCTGACCGGTCAATGTCCGCTGATCAGTCAATGTCCACTGACCGGTCAATGTCCGCTGACCGGTCAATGTCTGATGATCGGTCAATGTCCACTGAGCGGCCAATGTCCACTGACCGGTCGACCGGGATATTTCTGGCGCTCTGCAAAGATTTCCATTCATTTCCTTCTGGACAGTAACAGTGACAAGTCGTGTTTGTGGCTCTCGTGGTCTTACTTGAGCAGAATATGATAGATGCAGTGGCTATCACAAACGTCTAATTCGCGGAAGGTCTTTGGTTCAAACCGCTGAGGAAACTGACATATTATATACAAATTACCGTATACTTGGGTTTGTTTGAGTGTCTGTTCTTAATAACTTTCGTCAGCGGATGATCTAGGTATTAATAAACAAAATATAAATAAATAAATAAATAAAAATAAAAAAACCGTCATAATGGAGTGATGGCAATTAATGACGTTTGTTGAATGTTGAATTAAGAATTGACACCATAGCGCTTAGGACACTCCCATAAGTGCTCCGTCTTCAGCTGCAAGCGAAGAGTTCCAATTTCTAATTATGACAAAAGTACTGGTTATACTAGTGCTTCCAGTTGTTGGTGCTACCATTCGACTGGGGCTGCTTGGGCAGTAGCTTTATATGTCTTTTGGCGAAAAGGGGGTGGGGAGGGGGGGGATTGGATTTTTTTTGGGGGGGGGGGGGGGAGGATGCCAACATTCCGAATACAGTCACGACCCTGGGTGTAGCGGTTGGAACCTTCTAGGCCAGTTCTTCCCTTAGTAAATGCTAGCACTGGTCAGCTAGAAGTGTGGGGCAGTGGCACAGGCCACGAGCAGTGGTCCGAAAGGTACATTGTTGTAGAATACTTGAAGTTTTAGCAATAATAATAATAATAATAATAATAATAATAATAATAATAATAATAATAATAATAATAATAGTTCTAATAATACTAATAATGTACTAAATTCAAAACAAATACAAATGGGGGCCGGGGGGGGGGGACGAGGAGTTGGGGGGGGGGGGTGACAAGGAGTTGGGGGGGGGGGGGGGGTAGTAGGAATTGTATAAAGAAATACTCAAACAGAAAAGTTCATAAATTGTTGTTTGGGTGGTGGGGCTCAGAGAGATACAGAGGGACAGATGAGGGAGAGTGAGCAATAATGGGAGTTAGTGAGAGAGTGAGTGAAAAAGAGAAGAGAGAGTGATACTGAAATTAGCTAGTGGGTGAGTATATTCAGACAGACAGACAGACAGACAGACAGACAGACAGACAGACAGACAGACAGACAGACAGACAGACAGACAGACAGACAGACAGACAGACAGACAGACAGACAGACAGACAGACAGACAGACAGACAGACAGACAGACAGACAGACAGACAGACAGACAGACAGACAGACAGACAGACAGACAGACAGACAGACAGACAGACCGACCGACCGACCGACCGACCGACCGACCGACCGACCGACCGACCGACCGACCGACCGACCGACCGACCGACCGACAGACAGACAGACAGACAGACAGACAGGATGAAACCTATTCATATGCCCGACAAACTCCAAAAAACATACCTGTAGTTCTGTGAACACAGTCCGACTTCTTCGACATTTTTTGGGCTTCACAAAACTCTCGGAGCCGGACGGTGATCTCGTTCTGATGTAAACGGGCAGCGGGATGGGTAGTGAGTACTGATTGTTTCCACCCCTGGACTCCAGGAATGGGTCCATGTGTGGGTAGCACGAAGGAACTGTTTGTTTAAAAGATGAATCAATACAAAATGTAAGTAGGTGAAACGATTAGTATGTCTCCTCTTCTTCTTCTTTGCGCTCACCTGCCGTATACTCCGATGGAAAGTTCTGGCTGTTCGTCCACTTCTGTCTTGCTTCAAAACTTGAATTTTGCATGCACATTCGTTATACAGATCTGCTTATTTGGATGCAAAAGCTTCACACACCAGCATAAACAAAGTCAGCATACACAGCACAAAGAATTGGGAAAACATTACAAAAGAACAGTGGCGCTTGTCAGGTAACTGCGTCAAGCGTGACCACGGAGATAGCCGCTGCTTCTAGAGCACTAGCAAGGGCAGCAGAGCAAACAGCCACACAGGCAAAAATTGTATCCGACTCCGAAACAAGCTTCAGAAGATAGCAACAGACGGTGTGCGTTCTGAATGGACAGAAAGCATTCAAAATCGCAATTAACCTTCCTCACCTGGACCTACGTACCTGGTGATGCGGGCGTAAAGGGTTACGAACAAGCCGACCTACTGGTAAGCAATACACCAACGGATGTAAAAAGAAGCATGAGCAGGGCAGATATCATTAACGCTGTACGGACTAGGATAGGTCCTTTAAAGAACATCGCTCTCTTCACGCCCCGTCTGAACGTCTCTCTTTCTCTAGCCACTTCTGCAGCCCTATGTGCTTTCCTAGCCAATGCATTTTAAGTATCATGTATCCATCTTGGCGGAGGTAGTCCTCCACGTCGTTTTCCGGAAACGGAACCTCATCGCCGCTCTCTCCAAGCCAGCATGACTCTTAACACTAATATTTTGTTCATTATTTAAAACTAAAATTACGTTTACTTTGTACGGTAGGAGAGAGAGAGAGAAAGAGAGAGATAGATAGATAGAGAGAGACAGACAGACACAGAGAGATAGACAGAGAGAGACAGAGAGAGATAGACAGAGAGAGACAGAGAGAGAAAGAGAGAGAAAGAGAGAAAGATAGAGAGATAGAGAGATAGAGAGATAGAGAGAGAGACAGACAGAGAGAGACAGACAGAGACAGGCAGAGAGAGAGACAGACACAGAGAGATAGACACACAGAGAGAGATAGACAGAGAGAGAGATAGAGAGAGATAGAGAGAGATAGAGAGAGATAGAGAGAGATAGAGAGAGATAGATAGAGAGAGATAGAGAGAGAGAGATAGAGAGAGAGACAGAGAGAGACAGACACAGAGAGATAGAAACGTTGCTTTGAGCTGCATTATTTTTTTAATGTTTGAATTTTTTTTGGGCCGGGGGGGGGGGGGGGGGGGGGGGGGGGGGGTTGATTTGGTTTGGTTTAAACAACGGATCAACATCATGGCACAAGGGTGGTAACCTATTTGTGCTCTGTTCTACTTTTAATTCAAGACTTAGTCCGAAAAGTCTCAGCGCAGTGCACGAACTTCGTTGTACTGGCGAGGATCCGGAAATACTTTGGGTAGATTTTTGACTTTAAATTTTGCCCGGGAAGCGCCGTTAGGCTACTCTGTTTTCGATTTTATACTTCAAGGGAATTTTTTTTTTTACATAAGCAACAATATACACGCCCGCCCCAGAGACTAGGGGAAATAACTAGAAATTCATGTGAAAAAAATCAAAGCATTCCCCGGGGCCTGAACCCGGGACCTCCAGCACTCATGCACCGAGACCTCCCAGCCCACTCCTTAGCTTAGTGTTCACCGTTTGTAAACTTCAGCTAACAAGTTCTGGTTGTTCGTGCATTTCTGGACTCTGACCTTTTTCCAGAATTTGTGTTTTGTATGGACATCCGTTTTACATATCCAGCTTATTTGTATGCAGACTGTTGATTCCTCGTCTCTCAGGCAGGTTTACTTCAGCTTGGAAAAAAGATCACGATCCTTTAATTTAAACGACCCTGTCTCGTCGGCTACGAGATTTTGTAGGGACATCCCTAGAACGTCCCATGGTATACGGGAGTTATGGTTAGGCTTCGTAGTAGTTTATTTATTTAACACTAGCCCTAACCCTACCCCCTTCCCACTATAATATAGTACTGTCCAGGAAAACCCTAGGAATCCCCTAAGAAATCCATCAGCCAATAAGACTTGTTGATTCTTTATTAATGACTTACCCCCAGATGACGACGCACAACAGTCCAACATTTTAGAGGGTGGTAAGACTGGGTTTCCCAGCTTTCTGGTGCTTTTTACGACCTCAAAACATTTAGAACTGGCCTTTACCCCAACCCACCTACGTCCCAGGACTGAGTGCAGCCTAGGTCCCCCGACTCCATGTAACCTATTCACCACCCAAATATTAGACTGTCCCGTGACCTATGGATTTATCCTGTTTGGGGTAGTATATTAACAAAGCACCGACATGTATAATGCTGCATTTTTTGACATGCTTGTTAGGGGGCAATGGGTCTTTCCTTTGTCATTCTCATCACCCCCCCCCCATTAATTTTTTTTTTATCCCATGGTGCCCTTAACCCATATGGAAATCCTGTGATATCGACACTGCTTGAAACATATTGAAACATGCTGAAACATCAGGGTGCTTGTTTTCCTAAAACCACCTCTCTGTCATAAAACACACACACACAAACTCACACACCCTACACCCATTCTCTCTCTCGCTCTCTCTCTCTCTCTCTCTCTCTCTCTCTCACACACACACACTTAAACACAAACACCACACACGTAAACACAAAAATTTCATATATACGCTGGAGTTATATACCTTAGTAGCTACCATTCTTTACCCTTTTTTTAAAGGAGCGAAGCGCTTCCTGCCCCGTTGATAAACAAACCGAGCCGAGCTAAGCTGTTAATCGTTTGCCAACGCGACCGTCGGGAATAAACATTTGTGAAAATCTTTTGTGTATTGGTTTAAGCACCTGCCAAACAACACACTTTCGTAGTTAAACCTTTACCACCTCATCCCCTTTCGCCGGTTGGTTTTAAATGTGGACCGGAACCTTCAAAGATGCCCACCCTAGAATTTGCGAGTACCGTTTTTTTCTCCCTCAACGCTAGAGAGCGTTTGCGGAGAACCGGAAGTTGATGGAGTGGCTTTCCGCCATAACAATAGGAGATCTATCTTACCATGGATTGAGGGGAGTTTTGTACGACGATTTCCAATGCCAGCCTATCAAAATCGCAAGCAGATGTCAAATTTATAAACGGTGCGGTTTTGTCACTTAAACAGATTATAGTTGTTGCTTCCGTGACATTTGCGTCAGCTAAACTGCCATAGGAATTGGGTAAGCAAGGGCAGCTTGGGGAGGTAAGCGAGAAAGTTTGGGGGAATCATTTCCGATTTCCATGTGGTGCGCACTTGATGCTGCAGGTTTCTTTGGGTGTCTCTGTGGCGCGGTGACTGAGACGTCTTTCTTGTGCTCTGAATTATGTGGGTTCGACTTCGGATCTGTTTTTCGGATCCATGAGAGTCTTTGATGGAGCTACACAGTTCGTGCTTGTGTGCAACGCTTTGGCGAGTGGTTTGCACACACACACACACACACGCACACATACACACAAATACACATAAACGCATTTTACAACATGCGAGATGAAATGTATAAGAAATGCGGCGGAAGAAACTAGAAGAGACAAAGTCAACAACGAAGAACTAAGAATAATGGTAGGAACACTACCGGTGAATAATTTCATAGAACATCAAAGAATCAAATGGTTTGGTCATGTGGTAAAAATGGAAAAAAAATCAGCCAGCAGCTAAAGCATGCTGCACAGAAACAGCAGGCTATAAATCAAGAGACAGGCCAAGAAAGAGATGGGTAGGTTAGAGGGAGTAAAAGAGACACTCCAGAAACGTATTATGACATTCACACACGCTACCCAACAAGCAAACGACAGGAAACTATACGGAGCTCTTCTGTATGAATCTTTTGTTGCATAAGTAGCAGGACACCAGACAAATAAAAAGAATAGTTATGATTTATTAATATATTTGTGTCTAAATATGTGTATGTGTATGTATGTATATATATATATATATATATATATATATATATATATATATATATATGTGTGTGTGTGTGTGTGTGTGTGTGTGTGTGTTAATGCGCACTAGAGACATTTTTACAACAGTGTTGTGTATGTGAATATATTTTCATGAGACAGTGAAGGTGAGAGAGAGAGAGAGAGAGAGAGAGAGAGAGAGAGAGAAGAGAGAGAGAGAGAGAGAGAGAGGAGAGTAGAGAGAGAGAATAGAGAAGGGGAGAGAGAGAGACTGAGAGGGAAAGGGGCTAGAAAATAAATAGAAGAGCCAGCCTGGGGGAAGGAGATGAAAGAGAGGAAGTGGAAGTAGAATAAATGGTGGTGAATATGTCTATTTTTTGTTCAGATACTTTTTATTTAACTACTTTTTGTTCAACTACTTTTGTTTTATCCACCGTACCTGCATCCGTTTGCAAAGCTTGGCGGATATACCTATTTCTTTAGTTTAGTAATTTGAGGAACACCTCAATACGTATTTGGAGGTGGAGCTTTTCTTATTCAAATAGGATCCTTTCTTAGTATTAGGATTATTTATATATATAAGTAGGCGGAGGCTTTCAACGAGGACAGCACAGTAGCCAACACACTAGCTGGCGGACACACCAGTCAAACATGAAAGCTCGATCTTGCTGGGACTGTCAAATAAATGATCTAGACGCAGTATAAATTAGCAGTATGAAATGTTTCTGGAAAGTAAAGGCGATCAACGGTGACGATTGGAGGAGAGGTGTAGTTCCATTTAGTTTTTATTATTCTAGGATAATTTAGACTGCCTACACGGAGGATTTCGAAGGCCTGGTTTGTTTTAGGAGTATTTTTTTTTTTTTTTTTATAGGAACCTAGTTAAAGTTTTGTCAATTTTGAGTGATTTTATGTATATTTGTTATTTTTAAAATTATTTTTCTGTATGGACTAATATTTTACTTTTATCATTTTGATTATGTATTTATTATTATTTGATAACTAGGAAAAGTAGTTTAGGTAAATTATTTT